GGGCAATATCAGGTGAATGGGGTGGATATAGAACCATGTTCCAGCCCAGCTCCTCCAATTTCGCACGGGTCTCTTATTTATGAGAGGCCGAGAGGCCAAGAGTTGTCATGGAAGCGGTGCGCAATAGTTAACAGTTGGTCTAGGCAATTTTTCTCGAACAACTTCCGCAAGTTTCTACAGCTAATCAGTGTAATAAGTAGCGGTGACGGCGTGGTCATGCACTTCGTAGTACAGCATTTCATTCGAAACTCGGGAGCAGCAAGAAAACACTTTGGGGTAAAGGCCGGAATGGCTTGCGTCGACGACGTTTTCCTGGACGGTGCGGTGCTCGTCAGCGTCATAGAGGATCCATTTTTCATCTTCAGTAAATGGGCTCTCCAGAAACTCCTTGCAATGTGCGCGAAGAAAAAGACACTGAACAATGCATACCCGGGTGTATCGCATGCTATCGGTCAAGACATGAGGTATCCCTCGAGTCAGCACTTTTCTGTAACAGAGAGTCTGAAGGCGACCGACAACTGTTGATTGGGCACACCCAAGAATCCTCGCAACACTACAAATGTTAACTTCCGGATCCTCTTTGACATTGTCGAGAATGACGAAGTCGTCGACGGCAAGAGGCGTCCCAACCGAGGCTGGTCTACGAAGCCCGTGTCTCCTTCTTCAAAGCGAGTGAACCACCGATGGACCTTAGAGATGGAAGCGGTTTTGATGTTGTGAACTGTTCTTGCCGCCTCGGTGCCGCGGCACCACTCGTCCAAGATGATATATCTAACATGGTCAATTGGCATCGTGTTTTAAGTAAAGAAGGAAGCGCGCCTGTATACTTATTCTCATTACGGAAAAGGTTCTGAAATGTTCAATCACTACCACATGGTACCGATTTTAGTATCGATTAATAAACAAACGTTCAGGAATTCACAGAAACCGATCAAAACTTTTTGATCAACCTAGCGACTTGTCCCTGTCAACCAAGCAGCGATTCCCAATTCTCTAAAAGAATATTGTAACAAGATAACCATTCTCTATAACCATTCTTCGGCTTTTCACGATCCCACTTTGTTCTACCAGCGTTTGGTTACCGTAGTCTTTCTGAGTGGATATGAAAACATCAATGGAGGACTCGGATAAGCTAAGGTGAAGAAAGAGCGAGGAGGCTAAATGAAAAAGGGAAGGAAGGAAGAGGGGGTTAGTAGGACAAACGCAACATAAAGGTGTCCTAGAAAACACACAGCAACTCCATACCCTTAGCATGCTCTAAGGAGGTTGACTTTACAGGCAGTAGCACTCACCCTACGAAAAGCGAATTCCCACATAGGAACATAGTGCATATGCTGATCCTCGCCAGTGTTGACCAGTCAGAAAACTATTTCAGGGGTAAAAGCAAAGCTTACTTCAACGAACTGAACGTAGGAGCCATAAGGTTTGAATACTGCTCGTCGTCGAGTAGAGCGGAAGGAAAGACTGGGGCCCAAATAACGATCGGGAAGTCAAAGTATTTAGCAACGGTCCCGGATACGAGCGCAGCTGAAATTGTGGTATTAGCCCAACTTTTACGAGATTACTTCCTCAGGGTCATATAAGGATCCCTGTAACCATCTCTCAGACAAATACTTGTAAAGAATTGATTATGTGGTTTCCTGAGTACACGAAAAGTCAAACTCACAAGCTGAACAGGCAGGCCCTATGACAACATTTGCACCTGCCTCTATGAAATTGATAAGCGCTCCAGCATCGGCGGACTCCACACATTCGCCCATTGCCCATGACAAGCTAAAAGCGATCAAGAAAGTTACAAGCGTCATCTTTAGAGTGCCCATAAGTGTTGATCAGCCTACCAGCTAGTGGTTACCGTTTGCTTAATGAGTTATTCGAAGTATTCTATGGGAGCAACACAGGGAAGTGGTGATAGGTGATCGCGTGATCGCGATACTTACGAAAAACTTGGAATACCTTATTGTATGGGCTGAGGTTCAACTTTGTGGTTTGTTTCCTTCCATGTGAAGTCGTTAAAGTCGTTAGCTTCCCGTTAAACTTCCTGACCCTCTATGTCGTAAACTCCGACTACATATTTTCTTAAACTATCTAGCAAGTACACTCTCAATTCATTGCACATATGCAAATTCGACAGAAGTTCTTTATGGCTCAATAGCTGTCGAAGTTTTTGAGCAGGTTTCGAATGAAAAACTCACTTCAGCTTATCATATGCGGGTAGTATTCCATCCGCAACGATTTTGTCCCAAGCTACTCCTATTCCGCCAGCTGTCTCCCTCCATCCAACATACTAAACCAAAACGAATACGTTCTCAGGAATGGCATTGTTGCAGCTTACAATCCTTGAATTAATTTAAAATCACCTGCGATATTTCGGTATTGTTGTAGGCGCAAAGGAATCCAACATTAAGGGTCTAAAATGATATACTGTCAACAGAATTTAGGAAGCTGTAACCGTCAGATTAATAACTGAGCTTCGGCTTTATTTCAGAATTCGTTTTTTTCAGTCTGTAAATGTAAAAATTTTCTTAAATATCAGTAAAAAAATGATGAATATGTAGTTCTCCTGACGCTTGGAATTTGTTCTTCATTTGATCTATTTCTTATTCTACTCATGTAAGGCTAAGTAAGTGTGTTGGTGTGTTTGTATGTGTGTATGTGTGTGTGTATACCTGTATATGTGTATATGTGTATATGTGT